GTATCTAGGCAAGTCCCAAATATGTAACAACTTTAATTTGGGGGCTTGTGCTTAGAGGGCACACATGGAAGCCATGTGCCCAAATAAAATGCATTTGAAACCTTACTTATCATCGGTAAATATTGACGCTCTGGCAGAGCTACTGTCCACTCACCCATCTAAGCATTTGGTGGAGTATTTAATCACAGGTTTTTCCCAAGGGTTCCACACAGGTCTTATCTACATGCCGGGAGGGAATTGGGAGTCTAACAATCTACAGTTGGCCTTGGCCAACAAAGACGCAGTAGAGGTGCTGCTATTGATCGAGCAAGAGCAAGGGTTTGTACAAGGTCCATTCACAGAACCCCCCTTCTCTAGCTTGGAGGACTAACCCTATTGGTTTGGTCAAAACAATTAATTAAAAAAAAATAAAAAATGAAATAAAAAAAACAAGCAGAGATTGATTATAGATCTCTCTGCGCCACATCCTAGTCTTAATTCTCTGATCCGCTCTGAAGGATTCTCACTACAGTATGCTACCATTCATGACGCAGTAACTACCATCATATCTGCGGGCATAGGCACTTGGTAATGGTACCTGCATGGCATTAAATGGAAGCCTTTTTACAAGGCTCACTTTTGGCTCAAAAAATAGCCCAAAGATTTTCAACACTTTTGCGGAGACCTTGTGTTGGCTGCTCTTAAATACAAGCAGGTGCCATAACATCATCCATTACCTGGATGATTTTCTGTTTATAGAGAATAATGCATCCCCCCCACGCAGTCTTAACAAGGCACTACAATTTGTCGACTCACTAGGGGTACCAGTGTCTCCTAAAAAGACAGAAGGACCAGACACCATGATTAATTTTCTGGGGATGCGACTTGACTCAGTAGCCATGGAAGCCAGCGCACCGCAGGACAAAATAAACAGTATCTGACATGACATAGATTGTTAATTACATACAGGCTCATGTAACAGAAAGAAAAAAACACAATGCATATGACAGGGCATTCTTCTTGTATAAAAGGTTCATGACAAAGCACCACCTGGCCAACTTGTTCGACACTAAAAGCTTGGTGGCTTTCGACACTTTTTGCCACCTCAAACTGAACTGTCAGTTAAGTTATTGTCATGATTCGGGGAACCAAACACGCCAACACACACACACAAAGTGCCGTACCGGACCTTAGAGTGGCCGGGCTAAGCACACAAAGAATAGTCAGGAAACAAGCCGAGTAAAGGGGAACCAGAAGACAGAATAACGTGAAACAAGCCGAGGTCAAAGGGTAGGAGAAAGTCACAAAGTCGGAAAAACAAGCCAGAGAGTACGTAACCAGAAACACAAGGTAAGTAGCAATACTAGCAAGTAAAGACCACAACAGGGCGAAGAGGAACAGGAAAGGTGAGTATATAAATCCAAAGGTTAATTCTGATTGGATAATTTCCAATCAGAATTAACAATCACACGTGGGAGATATCTAAACCTCCCACTGTGATTGAGGCACTGTGCCTTTAACGCCGGGTCAGGTTGTTGGGGAAAATATTATGTATATATCTGTTTAATATGTGCTTGATTGAGTCTGTGTGTATGGGAGGTCAGGAATTATCTTCAAAGGGAGTTTCTGTTTAGATAGTTGGAAAGATACAGCACCTGAAAGGCACCAATCACATTTACATATCAACTGGTCTTCAAAGGAGTCCCTATCTAGGAAAACACACCTTGGGTTAGAGGAAAAGGGATGGCTGGGAGAGTTAACACTTAAATAAAATAACAGGATAGACAACAGTTTGGGCCTTGGGAAAGGAAATCACATTTCCATGTTACAACATGGGAACCAATTCCTTTAAAAATAGAAGATACTGACATCACATTAGATTAGGTTTGGTAAGACACATGCTGCACATAACATGCACAGCACATACACAATACAGTAGATATTAGATAGATGGAATGTATGAGTGTTATGAATGTATTGTAACTGTAATACTATAACTCTGTAACATTCTTCTTCTGTAATATTTAATTGGGCAGATTCTAAGTAAAGATTTCTCTCTGGTAAGAACTATGGTGTTGGCTGTTTATTTGTAATATCGGGTAGAATACCTTAGTAGTTCTAGACATATATTTATCTGGACAAGGGGATAAAGATATATGTTAGTTCTTGGAAGAGGTGACACAGGGATATTACATTCACTATTAAAAACACAACGCAGAGTGGATTTCTCTCAAAAGGATACCAATTGGAAGTATTGGTGGTGAGAGAAGGATTATACAACATAATTGGTGCCGTGACCGTGGCCGGAAGATTTCTTTCTTCAGAATCTGCCTAGGATCCAAGTTTTAACATCAACGTATTTGGTTCTGTGACTGTCAGCCAGAAGAGGTTTCCAGTGTCTGCATAAAGCTTGGTGAGTATATTTGTTATTTAATCTATTGCTGCAGTGTATATTTTTAATATGGCATGCAAAAAGGTAGATGCAAAAATGGCTTGTTCAGAAAATGTTAAACAATGGCTTATGAATTATATTAAGAGACATGGTGGTCCTTATGAAATCTCTCAGGACTGTAAACAGTCATGGGAAAAGATGCAGGAGTTTTTAGGAGAAATGTTATTTGATAAAAATGTTTCTGATAAAAAAAGAAAAGGGTGTATTATGCAAGCATTACTATCATGTTGTTTAAAATTAGAGGGAATTGTAAAAATAAAGGAGGATGAAATGGCAGAGCTAAATTCAGTAATTAACATGAAATCTGAGAAATTGAATAATAAAATTGTAGATCTAAGAGTGCATGCAGTTACAACTGGTGAAGCTTTGATTGAAAAGGCAAAAATGTGTGAGGAGCTTACAGTGGAGAATGAGAGGCTGAATGGGAAAATTTTGGAGATGCAAAAAGAATTGGATGAATGCAGACATGCTACTAATATGGCTTTTAATAAAATGGCAGAAAGCATGGCACCTTCGAGTAGGTCTCCTGTATCTGAAATTCCAGGGTCTAATGCTAACCCAGGGATTGGAGATACAGGATACAAACCCCTTTATCAATGGGAGGATTTGAAACAAAAGTCAGTGACAAATCTCCCTGCGGCTCCAACTACAACAACCACAGTGTTGAATCCTGATAATTCTGGAGAGATTCAGCTGGTTACTAAGCAGTTGAAGCCACAAGAAATGGATGCCATAGTTAGAGAAATAGGGCAGGTCCCTCAGCAGGATATAAATTGCTTTTTGCAATGGTTTTGTGGATTTCAAAGAGTGAAAGAGATGTATAGTTTGACAACTAGTGATATGGAGAGAGTGCTGCAGAGAGTTGTTGGAAATGGATTGTGGGTCAGGATTGTACAGACATGTGGTCAGCAGCGTAGGACTAGGGATATGTTGAAAGAGATCTTGAGAGCACTTTATGGAGTTACATCAAATGTGTCATTGTCTGGAAAAATTAAACAGCTGAAACAAGAGTCTCCGTATGAATTGTCAGCTAGAATCTCCACAGTGATGGAACAGTTTGGTGTCAGTAATCCTGGTTTTGAACAGGGAGGGCTGGTGCGTAGATCAATGTTTTTGGATGCATTAGAGCAAGATATTAAAGATGAGATATTATCTGTAACCCCAAACCCATCAGAAATGTGTGATTTACTGTTAAGAGCTGATAATTTGTGGCGAAGAAAGGTTAAAAATGAGAGTTTTGCTGTAGATGCTGCAAGGATTTTCAGAGTAGAGAGGAGAGACAGGTCTGCCATGTATCCTCAGAAACCATTCAGGGGAGATAGATTTCGGCATGTGGGAAATTTTAGATGTGAGAATGAATCTGATAGTAACAAAAGACAGAGAGATCCACAGAGGGACCATAGGAATAGGGATAGTGCTAAAGGGAGCAATGTAATGGGAGATAATTGGAGAAATAGATGGGATGAGCCTCAGGTAATTAACAATAATTGGAATAATAATAACTGGGAGAGGCTAAAAAGGAGAGGTAATAACTGGGGAAATCACAGTTGGGGAGAAAAACAAAGAAACAACAGGAACAGTTATTGGGAGAATACTTGGAGAAGGAACCATAGATGGGATGATCAGACCAATAGACGAAATTGGGATAATTGGAGGAATAAAGAAGGGAATAGAGAATACTGGGACCTGAAGAAACAGACTGAGAGATTGGAGGCAGACGTAAAAGCGCTTAGGGAACAGATGAGAAATGAGGGAAAGACAGATCAATTGAGGGTTCCCAGCAATTAACTACCATAACTTTTTTGTTTGTTTGTTTTTCTCTACATGTGTATGTATGTTTGTTTTTCTTTTGTTTCTATATATGGTTACCAATAAAAATAGCCTTAAGCTGATTTTTATCTTTGTATGGCAACAGACAGTTTTCTATAGATTGCATGCTGACAAATATATATTTTTTTTTTTTAAAAGGGATATAACAGAGCTTCAGATTGGCAACGGAGTAATGTTGCAAGATTTTTCCCCTCACCACCCATTTCCAAAACCTAAATGGAAAGGTCCATATTTTGTGCTTGACAAAATTGGACCCTCTGTGTATTTGTTAGATGTGGGAGATGAGAACTTTAGATGGACGCATGCATGTCAAATAAAAGCCTTTAGAGGAAAAAATGATGTGCCGAGTTAATGTAAATGTTAACATATTCTGTTAGCTCTCTTTTCCAGATAATAGGAGATGGAGTGGATCCCTGGAAGAGCAGCCCACATAAGGAATATGAAGTACAAGAAAACAGCTGTCATGATGTGGTGGTTATGTGTATCGTTTTCTATTTATATATTGTATAGCTTAGAAAAAGGGAATGTCATGATGAAGAATAACAATAAAATGGTGCATCAGAGTACTCCAGTAAAGGGTTATCATAGGGAGAAAAGGAGTTCAGAAGATTCAGAGAATATCATAGTAACATTAAAAGTAAAGGAACAATCACCTGAAGTTACATGTAAAGATAATCTTACAGTGGTTGGGCCTATAGGGGGGTGGATAGTGGTACAATGTAATATTTAAATGCCTGAAACTAACCTTCCCTCTGAATTTGCAGTTTGGAAATATCCAGGAGGAAGTGATTTACATAAGAGTACAAGTATATTTTGGGCCAATACCACAAATGAAGTGAGGATAAAGATGCTGCTGGAAAGAAATTTTACATTTTCCCAGGATGGTGTTGTAACATGCAGCCCCCATCAGACTGGATTACATGATACAGTTGACCCAGCAACTAACATAAGAATTATACATTCTCAGGACTGTCCAACTACCACCCTATGGCCAGAGCATGGCCTTTTCTTACAACCAACACAAACTGTTGTGTATACTGATGTATCTTATGTAACATTACCATTATTGTTAAATTTTTCATTATTTAATATACCAGAGAGTTGCCCAGAGATGATGAAAGAATGGTTTAAAAATGTATTTCAAGCACATATTAATCTGTTCTGGGATGCAACACAAGGGCTCAAGTTTAGAGAGAGAGAAAAAAAGGGATCTGGGTACTGATATAATCTCAGGACTCAGTTTGGGAACATCAATTTGGAATAGGGCAGACATAGAGGGTCTTAACTCACGAGAACAAAATTATGTTAATGGGTTGCAGCAAATTATGCTTAAAGAGGGACGAGTGGATTTTAACACTCTAGCTGAAACTGATGTCACGATACAGAACATTCACACAGTTGCTGCAGATTTGCAGTGGATTAATATATCTGTGAATGCTCTCAGAGAATCAGTTAATAACAATAATGTATCTAAAGCTATGGTATGTGGTATAGTTGGAAATGTACTAGACGAACATCTAAATTTAGGCCTCCAAGAAATAAAACGAGGGGAATGGCCCAGAATAATCAATTCTACCCTAGTCTTTGATCTGGTTAGGGAATATGGCATTGGTTGTCAGAATGTAGTCCTTTCCAAAATTAAAGGTCTGCAGAGTTGGTGCAAATTAGGTGCAATTTAGGAAAAAAGGTAATTCCATTAATAATTGACATTCCAGTTTGGACAGAACAGCCTGTACCTGTTTATAAGATGACTATGTTTGGTGAGTTGGAAGTGGCTAATCGCACTAATGTTTTAAAGCAATTCCTTCCACAAACTCGCTTAGTAATAAAAGAAGGCCATTTCTGGAAAGTTATCAACCCCAGTTGCTGTGACAGACGTGGTAATGCTTGGCTTTGTTCCTGTGTACTAAAACCACTAGTCCAGGCAGATGGGTGCATGGTGGAAAACTCAGGGAGCTGCCCTGTTCACCTTCACAAACCCATAAATGGTTGGAAAAGAGTGGTGCACGGACAGGGTCCCACGATCTGCGCACTGGGAGTATCTTCAGTTCTGTGGCAGCAAACTATACAATGTAGGGTACCCCCAACAGGATGGTGTGTTAATCTTACCTATGGCTCCATGAAAGTGGGCAAAGAGGTCATAAGAGCCAATATCCAACTCACACAAAGATCTATGGACGTGGTACAGGAAGATCTAGGAAATTGGAATAAAATGGCTCCCTCACTTTTTAAGAAAATCCCGCCACTTAATGTAGATTTGGATACATTATTTAAAAGAAATAATCGAAGGGTTGTGCAATTGCAAGAGCTGGTGAAGGAAAATGTAGCTAGCCTTAATGATTTAACAAATAGTTTTCAAGAGCCCTGGTGGAGCATACCCTACAATACTTACACACACCCAGGATTAAGAACTGCTTCTGTGATATTTGTTTGTTTACAATTTGTTTTAATCTGTTCTCTATTCATTTTATATTGCTGTTGGAGGAAAGAACTAAAAAAAAAAATCCATACAAAGCAGAAAAAATTAGAGCTCACATCCATTTTAGGGATATAAAATATATGTGTGGGTTTATGTCTTCCCTTGATTTTTTTTGATTTTTTTTTTAATATACAGAAATCAGAGTGGGAGGCGGGGTTGTATGTGAATAATCTCCTTATTAGATCTTATTCAAGTGGGGGAGTGTTGGGGAAAATATTATGTATATATCTGTTTAATATGTGCTTGATTGAGTCTGTGTGTATGGGAGGTCAGGAATTATCTTCAAAGGGAGTTTCTGTTTAGATAGTTGGAAAGATACAGCACCTGAAAGGCACCAATCACATTTACATATCAACTGGTCTTCAAAGGAGTCCCTATCTAGGAAAACACACCTTGGGTTAGAGGAAAAGGGATGGCTGGGAGAGTTAACACTTAAATAAAATAACAGGATAGACAACAGTTTGGGCCTTGGGAAAGGAAATCACATTTCCATGTTACAACATGGGAACCAATTCCTTTAAAAATAGAAGATACTGACATCACATTAGATTAGGTTTTGGTAAGACACACAAGCTGCACATAACATGCACAGCACATACACAATGTAGCCAATATTTTTATACACAATGTAGCAGATAGTATTAGATAGATGGAATGTATGCGTGTTATGAATGTATTGTAACTGTAATACTATAACTCTGTAACATTCTTCTTCTGTAATATTTAATTGGGCAGATTCTAAGTAAAGATTTCTCTCTGGTAAGAACTATGGTGTTGGCTGTTTATTTGTAATATCGGATAGAATACCTTAGTAGTTCTAGACATATATTTATCTGGACAAGGGGATAAAGATATATGTTAGTTCTTGGAAGAGGTGACACAGGGATATTACATTCACTATTAAAAACACAACGCAGAGTGGATTTCTCTCAAAAGGATACCAATTGGAAGTATTGGTGGTGAGAGAAGGATTATACAACACAGGTGACTGACCCCGGCATTTGTTTAAATGGGCGGTCTCCCAGCGTGCAGCGTCATGCATGCTGCCGCTGGGGGACACAGAGGGAGAGGCGGACGGCATCCGTGGGAGAGAGGATGCCGCCCGCCGAGCGCATGTCTGGAAGGGGACCGCGGACGGCTGCAGGGTGAGTGCCGTGAGCGGACTGCAGCCTCCCCTCGCAGCCGCCCGCGGGACCCTGACAGTACCCCCCCTCGAAGACCGCCCGGAGGGCGGGAAGCAGAAGGCTTCAAAGGAAACCGGGCATGAAAGGAGCGGACTAAAGAGGGGGCGTGCAAATCAGAGTTCGAAACCCAAGACCGCTCCTCAAGGCCGTAACCCTTCCAGTCCACGAGGTATTGTAGTCGACCCCTAGAAACACGAGAGTCGAGAATGGCAGCCACTTCGAACACGTCACTAGAGACAGTACGAGGGAAAACGGGCCGTCCGAGGGGATGAGAGAACCGGTTACACAGCAAGGGCTTCAAAAGTGAAACGTGAAATGTCTGCGGAATACGCATGGAAGGAGGCAAGTCCAGGGAGTAGGAAACGGGGTTAATCATACGTAACACTTTGTAGGGACCAAGAAACCTGGGAGCAAACTTCATCGAGGGGACCCTGAGACGGAGGTTCTTGGAGGACAACCACACCCTATCACCAGGAGCATAAGAAGGGGTTGCACCCCTATGGCGATCAGCGAACTTCTTCTGAGCAGCTGCTGAACGAGACAGCGCAATATGGACCTGATCCCACGTCTTCCGTAAAGAGGCGAGGTGCTGGTCCAAGGCGGGCATTCCCTTGTCAGAGAACGCACCGGGAAGGACAGAAGGCCGAAACCCATAAGCAACCTCAAAAGGACTTAAGCCAGTAGACGAATGAGACACCGCATTCCTGGCAAATTCAGCCCACGGAAGAAGGCGAGACCAGTCGTCCTGGTGCGCATTAGTGAAGCAGCGCAAATACAATTCCACAGACTGATTAGCACGTTCGGCTGCACCATTAGATTGCGGGTGATAGGAGGAAGTGAACGACAAGGAGACCCCCATCTCAGCACAAAAGCCCCTCCAAAACCGAGAGACAAATTGCGGGCCCCTGTCAGAAACGATATCCTGAGGTACCCCATGCAAGCGGAACACTTCCTTGGCAAACACCTGGGCAAGCTGAATCGCAGAGGGTAGTTTCTTAAGCGGAATAAAGTGGGCCATTTTAGAGAACCTATCCGTCACAGTTAATATCACCGTCTGACCATCAGAAGGAGGAAGGTCTACAATAAAATCCATGGACAAGTGAGTCCATGGTTTCTTGGGTACAGGTAGAGGCATCAGTAGGCCTTGGGGTCTCATATTAGGAGACTTACACTGCGTACAGACCCGACAAGCCTGAACAAAATCCACTACGTCTCGCTTGAGTGAAGGCCACCAGAACTGTTGAAGGAGGCTCTTATAAGTCTTGGTAACCCCCGGATGACCAGCAGTTTTGGCGGTGTGAAATAATATTAACAACTTTTTTCTGTCATTTACTTTCACGTATAGTTTACCAACAGGCGTCTCCTGGGGCGCTTGAGTTTGGTATGTCTTAATATTCTCAAGGAAGGGAGACGAAACAACCAAACGGGTAGCAGCTATGATCTGAGAAGCTGGTACAATAGGTTCAGGAGTTGGGTTAACAAATTCTAAAGGTTCATACTGTCGAGAGATAGCGTCAGCTTTGGCATTACGGCAACCAGGTCTATAGGTAATAATGTATTGGAATCGCGAAAGGAATAGAAACCATCTAGCCTGTCGGGCGGACAACCTTCTAGCATCAGCTATATAGGAGAGGTTCTTATGATCTGTTATAACCATAACTTTGTGTCTAGAACCCTCTAATAAGTACCTCCATTCCTTAAAAGCTAACACAATAGCTAATAGTTCTCTGTTCCCAACATCGTAATTCTTTTCTGGATCAGACAACCTTTTAGAAAAGAAACAACAGGGATGGAGGGGTTCGTCATACGATAACCTTTGTGACAGTACTGCTCCCACCCCCGATTCAGAAGCGTCTACTTCCATAACAAAGGGAAGAGAAGGATTAGGGTGGTGTAGTACTGGAGCAGAGGCAAATGCTTTCTTGAGAGTTTCGAAGGCTTTAAGGGCTTCAGGAGTCCAAACCCTAGGGTGTAGACCTTTTTTAGTCAGCTTTGTGATAGGGGAGATAAGTGGTGAGAAGTTTTTTATAAATTTTCTATAATAGTTAGCAAAACCTATAAAACGCTGGATAGCCTTAAGTCCTTGGGGAAGTGGCCAGGACAGTATAGCTTCCAATTTAGCAGGATCCATACTAAAACCCTGTTCAGTAATTATATATCCCAGGAATTGCACAGAGGTCTGATCGAACAGACATTTTTCTAACTTACAATACAGTCCGTTCTGTAATAACTTTTTAAGCACCATCCTAACATGATTATGATGTGACTTCAAATCAGGAGAATATACAAGTATGTCGTCAAGGTACACCACTGCACAGACATGCAATAGATCTCTAAGGACATCATTTATGAGATCCTGAAACACAGCAGGAGCATTACACAATCCAAAAGGC